AGGAGTCGCGCACGACGGCGCCGGCGAGGTGGAAGTCGACGAGGCCGCAGACGACTATCGAACCGCCGCGGTACGGCGCCCAGTTGCCCTCGAAGGACGCGTTCTCGACGCGCACGACGTCCCGCGACGCGTTGGCCAGGGGGCCGAGGGCCGTCTCGTCGGGCCCCGTGGCGGCGAAGAGCGCGCCGCCGTCGAGCGCGCTGTTGTTGCGGAACGTGGAATTCGCGACGGAGAGCGACCGGCCGCCGCCCGCGGAGAGGAACGAGACCGCGCCGCCGCCCACGCCGGCCCAGTTCACGTTATCGTAAAAGGAAGAAAACGCGACCGTCGCGGACCCGTCGACGACGGCGAGCGGCGCGCCGCCGGCGTTGCCGAAGAGCGCGACGCGCGAGAGCCGCGCGAAGCCGTCGGCCTCGACGGCGACGGCGTCGCCGACGGCGCCCGTGACGGACAGGCGCGCCAGCTCGAGCCTCCCGCCGGCGACGACGCGGAAGAGCGTGCGGCCGTTGCCGTCGAGGGTCGCGCCGCCGCCGCCGGCGACGGCGAGCGACGTCGTGACGTTGAGCGTGTCGTCGAATGCGATGGTCGCCGCACCGACGTCCGCGCTGCCCCCGGCGGCGTTCACGGCCGCGAGGTCGCCGAAGGTGGCGACGTCCGTCGCCAGCGCGCACGACGCCGCGAGCGCCGCCGCGAGCAGCCCGCGGGCGACCATGGTCGCACGAATGCACGAATTCGCGAAACTTCACCAAGTTACATGCAAGTTATTGATTTTCCATCACGATGCAAGGGGATCTTCAAGTACTTGAAGATCCCCTTGCACGATGATCGAACTCGTGTCGAACTTCAACATCCTCCGTTAAAGAACGCTGCTGTGCGCTCCACCGCCTTACCACCGCCACAGAACGCTGCAGCGCTATGGCCGAACCACCTGCATCGCGGCATGTTTGCGTCTTAGCCGCCCTGGGGACCGTCAGTGGGAGGAGCGCGGAGCGGCCCCAAGCGGGCAGACGGAGGCGACCCTTAGCACCCGAAGCCGAACTCGCGCGAGCGGACCCAGGCGGCGACGGCCGGCGA